GTCTGCTAAGAAATGAGACTCGGGTCCTAACTGGTTTGGCTCAGTGGATAGAGCATTGGCCTGCAGACTCAAGGGTCCCGGGTTCGATTCTGGTCAAGGGCATGTACCTTGGTTGCAGGCACATACCCAGTAGGGAGTGTTCAGGAGGCAGCTGATCGATGTTTCTCTCTCATCGATGTATCTAACTCTCTATCCCTCTCCCTTTCTCTCTGTATAAAAAAATAATAATAAAATATATTTTTTAAAAAATCACTGCACTAACAATTTAAAAAAAAAAAGAAATGAGACTCGGTGTCAGGCCTCAGCTAGGGAGGGGGCTGGGCATCCTTAAGGCCCCTTCATCCAAGCTACATGCAGCGGCTCAGAGCTCAGAATTGAGCTTTTCCCCCTTGCCTCTCCCCTCTCCATTTCCCTGACCCCAAAGCCCTCCTAACCTAAGAGGGTTGTCCCTTCTCCTAAGAGACAAAAATCACAGACTACCAGCTTCTCCCATTTGTCTACCTCCAAAATCTTACCCTGCAAAGATTAGAACATTGCAATGATGTTGCAATTTTTATGATGAAGAAACTGGGTCTCAAGAGTTTGGTTCCCGAGTTGGGCTGTGCCAGGCTTGTAAAGGTACTGTAGGATCTGAAATAGGGCAGGGGTGGAAGTCCACCTGGCCTGCGCAGGAGTATGGTTTAGAGCTTTAAGTCCTGGCCTTGGTGCAGGAGGCATCACCCAGGCATCAAAGCCCCTCTCCCCTAGGAGCCACGCTGGAGGATCTCAGGTTTCCTCTGGTCTGTGGGGAGGGCAGCCATTCCTCTGTGCAATGGTGAGAATGTTCTCTATCTTTTGTGCCCAATACAGGAGTCCCTAGCTACAAGTGACCATTGAGCACTGGAAATGTGGTGAGTGCCAATGAGAATCTCAATTTTTAAATTTTATTTGATTTCTATTTAAATAGAAAGTTTTATTGACTTCAAAGAGGAAGGGAGAGAGAGAAACATCAATGATGAGAATCATAGATTGGCTGCCTCCTGCACACCCACTACTGGAGATTGAGCCTGCAACCTGGGCAGGTGCTCTGACCGGGAATCCAACCGTGAACTCCTGGTTCATACGTGGAGGCTCAATCACTGAGCCACACCAGCTGGGCTGATTTCTATTTACATTTTAAAACTACATAAGAGTTAGTGGCTACAGTATTAGACGATGCAGTTACAGAATCTTCAAGGCTCTAAAGCCCGGAGGGTCTGCGCAGTCACACTCAGCGCCCCCACCCCGGGAAGCCGCAATCCCTGGGAATTTGGAGGAACCGCTCTGAGTGACCCCAGCCTGCAGAGGGATGCTCACCCTGATCCAACCACTGAAATCGGAGGTCCTCTCGTTCCTCGTCCTGCCAGGGCCGCCAGGGGCCGCTGCTCCCG